TGGAAAAGTTTTTGACTCCCACTATTGTGTGCTGCTTGCAGCAAAACGTGGCTTGCTGAAGTGGTTGAGCTGAGAACCTGTGCCTGCATCTTCACCTCCCACCTGGCAACTACTGAGTGTAACAAAACCAATCTTCTGTGTGTGCTCTGCTTCTGCCACTCACATAATTGTGATTTATCAAGGACAAGGGCATGTGCAGCTTCTCCTGGCTCCTGCTGAAGGTCAGCTTCTGCCCCTGAGGAGAGCTTCAGAGGCAGCCATCATCTCTGTCTGCTGCCCCCTCCTCAACTGCTTTCTTCTGACCCATGGTCTGGAAATCCCTTTTTCCGCGCCCTTCCAGAAACACTCATCCTTAGTCAGAATCACAGCCTGGACATTTCATTACAAATCAAGAATAAGTCAGATGACTGGAAAAAAAAACCCCAAGGGGCACAGTAATAATTTTGGTGAGAGATTTTATTTGATAATGTATACAGAAGGAGGCTATACTACTCCTGTCTATATTTTTAGCTTCTTCTTATACATGCAGAAAGTTACATGGTGCTACATACATGTTATTTGCTCAAACTAAGGATGCTGTATCAGTCTCAAATGAAATGTGAACTATCCTTAGAAATGAGGAATTAAACTATGAAAGTCAGTGAGCACTCCGGATTCTGCACTAAGGCTACTTGTCATAAGCATTCTGGCTGCAAACCCTTTGCTGTGTAAAGCATATAAAAATATTCTCCAACACATAGTAACTGGTCTTATCTTTTCCACTTGCATTCATTTATTGTATAAAATTTAGCCTTTCTTGGACTAAAACAGATACAGCAGAGATTAATTACTTCAATGGAAAACCTAAGCTTTGTTATTTTAAGTATATAAATATTACAATATTTCAGTCAAAACAAGTATTGTTATTCTAAAATATGTTTAATATCTTGACATAAAAATGTTTACATTATCTAGTTCATGGTCAGTAATTCCTGAATTTCAGAGTGTTTTGTGGTGTCTGCAGCACAAGTGTGTGTTGATCTCTGATTATCATAATTTCTGAGGAATGTCAGAGCACTTCATTTAGTGACATAAACAACAGAATAATTTTAGTTAAAAACCAGAGTGTCATAATATTTAACTTGAATCAGAAACCATACTGATATTTCTTATATATTGCAAATGGCTGGCCACAGTAATTCTTTCATTTAATATTTTGAATCGCAGTAGTGCTGAATAAGTAGAATCTGCCTTTTTAAGATTAGGATGGCTTAAAAAAAAAAAGGGTTTTTTTTTTGTATTTAAATTTGGTTATCCTAATAACGTGGTAGGATATTGCTGGATATTGCTACTTTTACTTATTATGTCAGTGATCCTAAAATGAGACTGTGAGCACCTCTGTACTTACTCTGCCTCTGATAGCAAATCCTTTTGGGGATGTAGGCAAATCTCCAAACCTTTCCTCTTCTATTTCCCTTCTTCAAAAATAGTGATTCTTAGTAAGCATTGTTTAATGGATTGCATGCTATACCTATCCAAAATGGGGAGCACAGCAGCAGCGTGTGCCTGCGATGATTAACGTGTCAGGACACAGTAACAAACTGCTTCCAATGTTAAATGGGATCTAGCAAAGCCATTTTGCTTATGGAGGATGCCTGTGGCTGACCTGGAGACACAACAATTTCAGCACCAAAGTGAAGCAGACAAAAGCCAAGTGGCACTGGCTCTTCCAAACGTCTTCTATGATCTAGGTGACAGGGGTCTTCTGTGTAGATGGTACTTGAGAAATCGCAGCTTGGCTGACCTTTCTGTTTTCTTAATGAAAAAACATAGCATTTCAGAACCCTAAGGGATGCCTTACAGCCTGTGCCATGCTGCAGGACTTGGGGGCAGATGGTCTGTGTGGCAGTTTGGGCACAAGCATGTGCAGTTCAGAAAGTTCCTGTGTCCTGATTATTCCTTATGTCCCAGAGGCAGAAGTCCATTTGTACAGACAGTGGACTCTCTGACCATGATCCAGACAGGCAAGAGACATGCTTCTTTGCATGGTGGGTAAATAGTCTGACCTCATATGGCAGTTTCTGCATCCATTCAGAAGACTGGAGTCTTCCTTATTGTCTGGGTGACTTGGCATCCCTGGAAAATGTGACTGGACTTTTTCCTCTTTGAGGTTATTTCTTCAGCTCACAGACATCAAATGACATTCTGGCAGTTTATGTCAGACAACCATGCAAGGTTGTCGTGTGTGTGGTGTCGTTCTGTGGGGCTCATGGAGAGCAATCTGAGACACAGGGTGGTGGTAAGAAGGGATGAGAGCAGGAAAGACTGTGTTGGGGCTGAGGATGAAAGGAAAACAAGCCAGTAGGGCTCCAGGCTCTGAGTTCTGTGTAGCACCTTGGATTCTGCTGCCTTTTGACCTTATGTGTTGGGCAGAGCAAAGAGCAAGGCAGAAGTTCAGTATCTGCAGTAGGGGACCAGATGAGTAAATCATGCACTTAATAGGCTTGAATGACTTCAGTGCATACTTATGTTGTTTTTTACACTTTACATACAATTACCTACAGCCCACCAGTTCTTATGATTCAGTATTGGAAGAAATGTAGTTTTTAAACTAGGTAAATCCAAAATATAGATCCTTCATGGAAAAGGTCAACTGTAGGAAATTATTTCTGTGTTACATGATCAGAGAAGTTATGTGAAGACGGAGAAAATGCTGCCCAAACACCTACTGCAGCTGTTTAAGATGCTGCAGTACTAATGCAGGGGGTACTCCAGAGAGCTTCCCTGGGGTCAGACCCTGCAGGACTCAGAGCACTTTCAGGACCTGGCACAGAGCTCCATCCACAACTGCTGTGTTTTGTATTGCTGTGAAGATGCAGCATCAGAGGCAGCGAACGCGCAGACATTATGGCAATGCTGCACTCTGTGGGTAGGCTCAGTGCTCTTGCTCTGACAGCAGCAGCCTGGGATTTGCTCTCGGCGCCAAAACAGGTTGCAATTAAGACTTTTGTTCATTATGTAAGAAATGATTTTTGGCCAGGTGCCTGTTCCCAAACCTCGTGTATCCGTGTGAAGGGGGAAGTGGCCTGCAGGAAATGTCTGGGACATGATGTCTGTGGTGAACAAGACAAGAGGAAATACACAGGTCTTGATTTTTTGCTGCCCTATAGCTTTGAACAAGGTAGTTGGAAAGAGCTCCCAGGAGCTGCCTTAATACTGATGAATTTACACAAAGATCAACATAAAGTGCTAAGTTTGGTGTTTATTGACCAATAGCAGCAAACAGCACACAGAGAAAGCACGTGTGGGGGTGCACCATTATTCAGCTGGTCACAGGGAGATAAAGTACTTCTATTTCCACTTGACAATAAGAAGTGTGTGTCATTAATCAAGGTAGTGTAAAAGATTCCTCTCAGCACTGGCCACTACAATTTCTACTTTGTTATTGTTGCTATAAAAGTGTGTATATTGAAGCCACCTGTGTGATGCTCCCCACCTTCCTCCTCTTTCTGAGTCTGCAGAGGGGAAGACGAGAGCTCTGAGTGTTGATTCCTTACAGCAAGGCCTGTAGTACACACATTGCAGATAGATATGCTCTGATTCCAATCCTACCAGGCATACACTTTCTATCCATTTCTTTTCTTAGTGTCCAACAAGCACCATTTCATGGACAGCAACTTGCTCTATCAGTGCAGGATGAACTTTCGCCGCCGGCGGCGATTAATGGAGCTCCTCACTGAGAAATCCCGCTTGATGCCTGAAAGCCATGACAGCCCGTTCTGCCTGCGCAAACAGAACCACGACAACAGGAAACACACCAGTTTTCTCTCAGGTGACTCCTGTCAGTGTTCGAAAAAAAGAACAAGGCTGGTATTATGTGTCCCTGTTCACAGGGATTGTCCATTCCCTCAATTTTCCAAATCTATAAGTCCCTGGGGTATATCTGTATCAATAGTATTTCAGATGCTCATCAAAATTTGGTGTCCATGAACAACCAGAAGTGGGTAAAATTCCCTAAGCCCAAAGTAATTTGTTATACATTCTATATGGAGTTTTCAAGAAGAGTTAAAGAGAGGGGAAGGGACCCCGCAGCATGAGGTACAGCAATATCTAGTAAGAACTGAAAGAAGAAAAACTGGAAAAACTTAGTTCCCTACATTGCAATGCCTCTTAGAAGACACTGCAATGAGAGCAGTTCAGCCATCCCGTTAGCTACAGCATTACACTCATGCAGTGACTCTTCTAACTCTGTAGGACACACTATGTATTCTCTCTGTTTGTAGTGAGTCCCACCAAGGAGATAAAGATCGTGTCGGCGGTGCGAAGGAGCAGCATGAGCAGCTGTGGCAGCAGCGGGTACTTCAGCAGCAGCCCAACGCTCAGCAGCAGTCCCCCCGTGCTCTGCAACCCCAAATCTGGTGAGCACCAGGATCACTTGCAATGGGCAGGAGCCAGGGTTCAGACATCTGTCTGGGGAGAAGGCAATGAGAAGAATGCCCAGCACCACACCTAAGCTTATGTTTTCAAGAATGCATAAAAATTTACACTGTCGCAGGTTTTGTAGGCCAGAGGGGACTATTGTCATCTTCTAGCCTGAAGTCCTGCTGAACACAAGCCAGACGTCTGCCTCCAGTTATATCTGTCAAGTCCATAATTGTGATTTGAACTTCATTTTATCTCTTAGCTGCAATTTATCTCATGCAGTCAGAGGCCTAGATTTGCCTCTTCATTGCCAAGCTCTGAACCAATTCAAATCTCCTCCTAGAGACATTCCTTAGGTGCAAGTCAGAGGAGAGTTTAACTATCCAGTGACTGCTTGAGCTGCTCTGAAATAACACTGAGAAAACAGAAGCCTCTAAAAAAAGAAGAGAGGCAGCATTATTTCAGCCTGTCAGGGACCATTTCAGTATTTTTGTTTCTTTAAGTTTTACACTGGTCTGTTTTGGAAGGTAAAAGTAGTGTTGAAGCTTATTTTCCTTTTGAAAGGATTTCCTATCCCAGCCGGAAGGTTAAACACACCCATTCTTCCACAATTCACTTAAAATTGTTTCTTACTGTACATCTGGGAAGAGGAAAACAGACCAAGATATTGTTTCAGCCTCTCTGTTTCCCTCAGAAACAGCCACAAATTTCAAAGCAGGATCCCTTCTGCCCTTTGAGCTCCTTATTATTTCAAGTTTGTTATGTCTTTGCTGGTGCTGTGGGGATTACTGTGCAATGGGGTAAGGCTTCAGTGGATATGTGTAATCTTTGCTTTCAGAGGGGTGCTGGCATTTGAAGTGATTACTAGGGAGTGCCTCAAGCACTAGATGAATGCTGTTCTAAACATTGACCATTCACTCTGGAGAGGAGTGAACTAAAGTGCATTTCATTCGTGCTGTGCAGAGTGACCATGAAAAAGGGAAACCTAGTTACAGGGATATTTTCCTTCTCTTCCCTTTTAGCACATTTCCTTCCCTCTCCTTAGCCTCTGCTGGGAATCCAGTGTGAGGTTCTGAATTAAAATAATTGAAAGGACTCAGTAGGAGAGTATGCTCAGAAGTCATAACTCTCTACAGCAGACCTGGAAATGCTGTCAGTGCTAGTGGTCATCGCATCCTCGGAGTATGTTGCTGTTGGGCGTTCAGCATGACCTTCCAGTATGCTTATCCCTACAGGCAAGGAGCTTGCCCCTGTGTGAAGAGTGCCACAGTACCATGTTTTGGCAGAATGTCTCTCAGGTCTCTCAGGTATACTTGCCCAGAAATGCTCTGGTAGGTTTTGCATGGGGAGCTCTTTGTCCCCAGCACATTAATTACATCCTGGAGAATTTTCTGGGACAGATAAAACAGCATTCATGCACTGTCCCTAGATGTGTGTGTTATCTCAAGTATGCCAACTATTCAGTTCATTTATGGTTCTGATTTTATATGAAGTGTCAACCCATGAGTAGTGAGAACAAGTTTATTTTAATGCAGCTGATTGCACAACACTGGAAGAAAAAGGATAGGCTGATGTTGCCCTTGCATAAATTCTTTATTTTTTTAGAAGAAATTTTCCCTTAGGACTCATTTTCAAACTCTGAATAGCTTTAACAGACTCGTATTTGAAAGAAGACAGCAATGGGTTTATAAACAGACTGATCTTTATACAATTACTGGCAGTAAAGGGTTATTTCTCCCATAGCGCGAGTACAAATCCACACGTCAGCTCTCATAGGTTAACATAAGGCTGTCAGATGTAAATGTTACGAGCAATTTTTAATCCTCTGCTGGACTATAAAGAGATTTTGTTCACAAATAGTTTCCTGCTATCCAGACACAGAATGTATCTCTGAAGTACGTGCTAATAAACACAAGGTATATTTATTGTTGGATGAGTTCTCTTGCAGGCAAACACTTCAAAAACACCCAGGTCGTGACTTGACCAATCATGTAGAAAAACAGTCATCAAGCAAAAAAAAAAAAATTCTGAAGCTATAATGAAGGGAGGCACATAAGGGAGACCTGCATGGATGATTTACCTGATTCTGACTCGTCGAATGAGCACAATCATTCAGGTTTTTTTACGTTAACCAGACATGCTCTGCAATGTGTAATACTGGCTAAATGACAGTTTGTCAAAATCCATGGGAAAATTAAAGAAAAAAAAAAAGGTATTGGTTTGTATGCTAGAATTCTCCCTGCTCCCATGCATGCCATTAAGAAAATCAAGAATTTTTTCAAATACCATCTGTATGCCACCTGTGACTAAAAAGATAGACATCATCAAAATTATTTATCACTAAAAGAAAACAGCCATAATTTTAAGGGTGAAGCTGACCAGTAGGATGAACAATATATATCTTTATGTCATCCTTTGTCTTGGGGAGCATTTATAGACAGATAAAAAATGGTATTGATTTGATTTGTCAGAACTTTAAATTTACTTTTTTGAGAGGAAAGTTATCCCATTACATATTAAGGCAATGGGGATTCACCTGTGTAAACTTACTGGTATTTCCTTTCATGTAAAATTCCAGCCAGCTATAGGTTACCTAGTCTGTCCCTGGACAAGACTGAGTTATAGGTCTGTGCCTACAACTGCAGAAATCTCTTGAGATAACTGCTGACACAACCAGGATTTTCTTGTTACTTAAGTCTGTGATTCAAACCTGACTCAGATGAAATTGCAGAGAGCACCCAACAAGCACACAGCAAGCTGGGAAGATTTGCTGCTCAATGACAGGAAAGTTTCAACACTGGACACAGGAAAAACCACTTTCGATGTTTGTGATAATGTTTAGGGGATTTTAATTGCAGATAACAGAGTCTGTTGGCAAAATGCCCCAATTTTCCAAAGATCTCATCATTTTTACTCATTCTGCAGGCTTTTCTTTGTTCCCTTATTACTTTCAAGCAAGTCTGCAAGAACTGAAAGCATGTCTGGGATGGGACCAAAAAGATTTGTATCCCAACACCGTATCTTATTTTTTAGGAGAAACTCCAGAGGAATGGTTATATTTAATATTCATTTCTGTACTTCCACAGTATTAAAGAGACCTGTGACTGCTGATGAGCTCTTAATGCCTGGAGCCCCATATGTGAGGAAAACTTTCACGGTATGTCTCCGCTATTTTTCTTTATTTTCTGCATGCTGTATGCATAAGGCAATCCAAACAGATGTTTTCTGATGGGATAATTAGAGCCTATTTGCATTTGCTGAGGTTTGTACTTTAAAATCCCAAACTCCATTATCAGTACTTCCACACATTTCAGGTCTGATTCTGCACTTGTTTATCCTGTCTTTATGCCAGTGTGGTACTGCTGACTTAAAAGGAGTGTAAAATTACATAAAGCCAATAACATTTGTGTTATACAAACTCATCTAGACTTTGTGCTCCTGGTAATATTTTGTGCTCTGCAGGAGTGGATCACCTACCCAAAATGAAGTTTTCTACCAGGGTCTTTCTGCATGGTGTGACAGAAATTTGACTCATGCATGCTTTTAGAGCCTTTCTGTAAAGACATTTTTGAACTTAGTAATTGGAAACATTTCTTTTTACAGCCTCCTAGTTCAACAAAAAAAGTTCATTAAAAGCAAGAAGAATAATTTGAGTGGAGCCTTTCTCATGAGTGACATAGCAGCCTGTAGGCAGTGTCCTCTACTATGTGTTGGAAGCATAGAGATGTTGAAATTACATCTTGGACTGTTTATATGTTGCCCCTCTGAATTTCATGGAGCTGCCTGAAGGTTGTCATGCCCTTCTTTTCTCCTTGCAGATCGTTGGGGACGCAGTGGGCTGGGGCTTTGTGGTGCGGGGGAGCAAGCCCTGCCACATCCAGGCTGTGGACCCCAGTGGGCCAGCAGCTGCAGCTGGGATGAAGGTGGGTTTTCGAAGTGGAATTACTTCCCAGGGGAATTCTTCGTGCTCAGTGGAGGTCTGGGCTGCCTGTACTGGGGGAGGGAGAGGTGCTTTTGTTTCCAGTGTTGAGTGCCTTTGTCTCAGTTTCAGGCATTTGTGCACAGTGAGTTCTGCTGCCTTTCAACCCATTCTGTCCTTGAGCTTCTTGAAGTCCCTTTTTCACATGAAACTTATTTATCCTGTCCAAGTTTCCTTCTTGACCCTTTCTCTTTTTGGAGTGGGGTTTTTTTTTCAGCTGGTTGGCTAGTTTTGTTGGTGATGGTGTTTTGGGGGTTTTTTTGTTGATTTTTTTTTAATTTTATTTTCGTGTTTTTTCAATTCTGCACAATTTTAACATCCTTTTTACTTTGCAAGTTACATGGTTGCTAGTATGCAGCTTCTGGACTTTGTCTATATAAGAATAGGCAAAGTCAGACACACCTAGTGAAAGTGAAGCAAACATAGCCCATTGTTCACTGTACATAGTTAAGATTCAAGAAATTTTGGAAAGAAGGATGGATGATAATTTCATAAAAAGTTCAAATGCAGAGCCCATTGACTTACCTACAAGTTTGGATCACATCCCACATATATCTGTGAATTAACCTCTGCCTTATACAGTGCAAAAAATAAAAGCAAAGCATTATGTCAAGTACAGGTAAAAGCAAGAAAGGGAAACTCGCTGCTACACCTGCTCCAGTGTCCAGGCTGGGCCAGACAGAAAGACTAAATTATCAATTTGTGTTATGTTTTATTCTATGACAACAACACAGATGAAGGTTTCAGGTGCATTCCACATGCATCCCAGTTTGCCACAAGTTTTGTCCAGCCTTCTAATTCATCTTCCTTTCCCATCACACTCACCCCAGTTGCCTCTCACCCATATGTTCACACCCACCGAGCTGGAGGCAGCACATGCATCCTGCCCACCACACAGTGCCAGCCCTGCCATGGCACCGTCCTTAACAAATGCACTACAGGGGTTTCTCCTCTCTGGCTGATGTGGTTTTTTTTTTTTTTTTTTTTTTGTTCAATGAAACTTGCAAGAACATACTGTCTTTGAAACATTTTCTTTTTTTTGAGTACGGGCAGGAAAAAGCCCTGGGACAGGGAATGGCAGCAGCAGAGCCTGTTGGTGCATGCAGCACCCAAACACATCCTGCTGGCAAACAGCTTGAATCCTGAGGGAGCTGGAATTTTTTGATTAGTTTTATACAATGCCTAAATATAATGTATATTTACATTTTTTGTATGAAGAGTATAATTTTCAAATAGTAATCCTGCCTTGAATTTAAAGGACCTAAATTTAAAAATAATGAATTTATTCATGTGTATCTTCTAGATCCTGAACTTGGGGGTTTAGTATTTTACAGCATCATTTGTTCTTTGAGTATAGCAACTAGCAGTAAGGTAGAACTATTCTGAAACCTGACTTGCAAAAACAACACTGTGGTGTCATATATGTAATCCAGGGGGGTACAGAGGTCTGCCTGAACCATTCAAGACATAAGAATGCAAAATAGCCCGCTGTTCTGAGGGGAGCAAAAAGTATTGTAAAACTGGCATATATTACCTTGAATTTACACAAAGGACAGATCTGGTTGTTTTTGAAGCTGTTATCTTTATATAAAATCACTTTTCAGAGCAGAATTGCACATAAAAATTTATGTCCATATGTTAGATGAGCCTTTGTTCAGACACCAAATTGGTGCCCCACTTTTGGAAATTCTGAATACCTTTAGCTTAGTGAAGAAATTGTGTTTTTCTATGAATATAAGGGCTTTTGTTGAGATGTTCCCATGGCAATAAGTATGTAAATCACAGTGCAGTATCTGAAATTTTAAAAAAATCTATGTCACTTAATCCATCTGTTTACCGAACTCCTCAATCTGGCAAATGTAAAGGAATCGCATGACAGGCTTTAGATGACAGGTCCTTGAAATTAAACCTTCCTCTGTGTGGAAGCTGCAGGGAGGGCACTTTCAAAATAGGCTGTTGGGCACAGTAACTTCTGGTGGGCTGGTGCAAGAGGCTTTTGTCTGCAAAAAGAGTGCTACACCAAAGAAGCACTAACAAGGAAAGTTGGCTATGATGAAAAGGGCAAGAATTTGAAGAAGAGCCAAGACTTGGTGTTGCAGTTTGTAGAAAAGTCCTTGGCAGCAGCAGCAGGGATTTTCCTCCTAAGGACATGCATCCATTGTAGTTGTTTTTGGAAGTGTCTTTATTTGTAAAGCTTGTGATTTTGCACTTACCTCTTTTGGAGACTACTATTTCCCTGTCTTTGCATTATGCCAGACCTACTCTTGAGAGAGGACTGCTGGCTACAATCCCATTGTAGGACCTCAGTTTGTGCGCTTAAAATTCTACCATGTGTTACAGAAATCAGTAAACATTACAGACTCAGCCTACCTGCAGGACTTTGTGGTGGCTTGCTTTCAGTTTGACCTTGGCTGGGTTCCTGGCCTGCTCCAGAGCGCTGTGAATTGGGAGTCTGGGTGGAAATCTCAGCGAGCTTTGGCCGGAGCTCTGCCCACACGCAGCAGCTGCACAGTGGGCACAGAGCTTGGCAGTCACAGCGCTCCATCACACACGTGCACCTCGGCCTGGCCCCCTGGCCACCATACGTGACATCCTCTTCTGAGGGAATTTTCAGACCATTTATTTCTGAGAAAATCCCTACGAGCACGGTCTGCTGAAGATGTGTGAGAGGGTGTTACGTTTTTTGGCTTTAGGTCTTCTGGGGCTGGTAAATAGGATTGCAGTTTGCAGTCTGAGGTTTCAGGTATGAAGCTGACCAAATAATTCAATAAATAACTTGTCAATTAGCTTTATTAAAGTGTTTTTGGCCTGGTTTGTTGAAGTGTTGAAGCTTGTGACAGCACTGAGAAGAGAGTGGTTGCTGTGAGCACATTAACAAGTGGGAGCTGGAGGCAACTTGGGACTATGAAAGGAGTCAGTGTTGCAATGGTACTTCTAAGTTATTTGCAGCTCTGTTTAGCTGTCTGCTGTCCTCAGCAGTGGCAGACAGGAACAGCAGGATTTTGAAGTTCCCAGGTTCCTTTAATATTCAGCATTGACTGGCTGCAAAATTTGGTTCTTTGCAGATGATACTGCTAAATATTGCCAGTTGTTGTCAGGAAAACTCTTTTTCCCTTTTTTTCAGTGTTTTATTCTGTAAGTTCACTTCCGTTTTTAAGGTGAAAGTATTCTTTCAGAAGTTATGCAAGACTTCTAACTAGTGACTTAAATTAGGCATCACATGTTTTAGTATGACATCACTGTGACAAAATGTGACAAAATGAGCAGACCTAGCTTAGTGTGAGGCCTCTGAGAGACACAAAATAATCACTCATTTTGCTGATTTTCCCACTGGCTGGAGAACTCAATGCCCTACTCAGACCTTTGAGGATCTGATTCCTTAAACTGATTTTGAGCAAATTAGTATTATAGCTGTTATACTTAAGGTCCTTGTATCATATAAATTGCCAATGGCCACTCAAGTTTTTGTAGCCTGTTCTAGTTCTTCATTTCAGTCAGCACCAGAGAGTTTAAAGGACCACATAAAGTCACTTGCACCAACCCCTTTTGTTTAGAGCTGTGCTTGGGGACTATGATATGGAGCTTTTTCAGCATGGTTCTGCTCTCCTGGTCTTCAAAAGCTGGCTCAGTGAGGAGATCAGCTTCATAAATTTTTTGCCTGTGCCATCGTCTTCTACGTTCACAAATTATTATTTCAGGTCCAGTTTCTCAAGTGATTTCACTAATGGAATAAGAGCCTGATCTCAAGTGTAATTGGGTTTCCACTGTCTCAAGTAGTTGATTGATGTCAGTTCATCAAGGTTATCAAGCCCAGTCTCCCTGCAATCTAAGGAACACAGGTACCATCTGATTAGACCAAGAGTACAAGTACTGCCACAATAACCAAATATTACAGTCTTGTAACATAAAAGATTAAAAAGTATGTGTTGTAAGTGTCAAGTGGGAGGAAAACAACCCCAAACCACGTGAGATCAGAAGAATCATCAATGTCTTCAATACCTTGGAAGAAATTTGAACTGCGAGATTCTCATGAGGATGAACATATACCGTGCCACAGAGAAACACAAAACCCGTTCCGTGGTCTTTGCTAGTCTGACCTCAAACACGGTGATTGTTTAACTTTTTGACAAGCAAGTAAAACCAGGCTAAAAATCCTTTTAGAAAAAAATAATCCCCCGGGAAAAATATCCCATGTATGGCTGTGGCTAATTTCCATCGCCTCCCCAAGATCATGCTTTATGGGGAACTTGCCACTGGCTGCCGCAAGAGAGGAGGCCCGAAGAGGAGATACAAGGACTGCCTGAAACAGTCCCTCAGCCTTGGCAATATTGATCACAACCATTGGTCTACCCTGGCCTCCAATCGGGAGGCCTGGAGACACACCATCTATAATGCTGCTGCTGCTTTTGAGAACACGCACAGGATCACTCTCGAGGAGAAAAGACAACGCAGAAAGAATCGCGTCTTGTCGATATCACCTGGGGAGTCTTTCTGCTGTACGTTCTGCAACCGGACTTGTCTATCTCGCATTGGCCTTTTTAGCCATCAGCGCGCTTGTAGCAAGCGTGGGTAGAGCCCCTTTCAAATCTTCGTTCACGAAGCCTAGCCATGATGAGTGGGAAAAGTAGGGAAGCATGGCTATCATAAGTGAGAAACTTCTCTGATACTCCTACAGGCGGCTTACTGGGAGGTTAAAGACTGGGATTAATATTGTATAAGTAAGGCACAATATGCATGCCTCCATTTAACCCTCTCCATGAAGTTTAGCAAAGGGAAGATACCTCCGTGTTTGGTACTGGGCCTTTGACCCTTTGAAGCACTGGGGAGATGCTTCGGTGCTAATTGAAGGAATCTGAAGGGTACTTTCACTTTTTCATGAGACTGAGCTTTAAATGAGATGAAGTAGGTTTGGATAAATATTTATACTGTGCACTAGCATATGGT